ACTGAGAAAAAAAATTCCTGAAATAAATTTACAGTGCTACACTTCTATATATGAAATCTGCTTTTGTAAAAGTATTCACAATGAGTGACTCAGAATTTGAGCTGTTTTTCTCTTATAGGAAAATAACACTAAAAGAGAGTCTCCTTTTGTCTTTCCTCATCAGGTACCCTCTACCTGCTCATTTTAGTGAGGAAATTACTGACATCCATCTATCTTTTCCATCTTTCAGTGCACTTCTTTGCTGAATTTGAGATTCATGAAAGCCTTTACTGCAGATGAAATATATTCATGTGTTGCTTGAAAACCATGTATTCTGAAAAATGCAGCATTAGGTGGTTTCATCATTGTACAAACACCAGGGAGCATTTGTACACAGCCTAAGAGGGTGAAGACATTACTAAGGAATATAAACTCACAGCATATGAAATATATGTAGTCCACTGAATGAAATGTTATCTAATGCATGACTGTATATGAATTTAAGGACAGATAAAAGCTCAACAATATCTCATCCTTCTATATTGTATCTGCTTATTAACCCTTTGTTTCCCTATACATCCTTGGGGAATTCAATAATTCCTGCCTTATCAACTGATATGATGATTCATATAAAGGATATAGTACTATGTAAACACCTAGCAAGAGTTTAATAATTTTTATTACTTTATTATGGAGGAAAGGTAATTTTATTTTTTATTTCTTTCTTCAGGCTTTCTTTTTTTAATTCATCAATTTTATTGGTACTTTTTGAGTATACATTACCAAAAGGAAGGAAGGAAGCTGGTCTCATCCTCATAAAGATGTGATAACAAACTTGATTCCAGGTTTACAGCATTAGTCCACTCTTGAGAGCAGAGTTTAATCACCTCTTCAAGGTCTTATCATTCAGCGTTGCTGCCCTGGTTATTAAATGTTCAACACATGAACTTTGAGGAACGCATCTAAGCCACACCAAGAGCCATGAAATCTTCAAATACCTACAAACGCTACAGGTGCTGTTCCATCTATGAGATATCCTGATGAACCCACTGATAAGCCCCCTTTAAATTAAAATATGCCAAAAATGCATTTAAGACACAGCCTACAGAACAACACACTTTAGCCTTGCCAGCTATAAAGAACAAGCAACTAGACATTTGTAACACATTGAGGCCATATTCTTAAGTGAAATAAATAGGAAAAGTGTATAGTGAATAGTTTCTCTGGTGTGAAAAACTAAAAGTGTAAATAAGGATCAAAATGTATAACTGATAATGTGAAATAGGAATAAAAGGGCTAAAGGAGTAGGGGAAGTGAGAGGGGTAGGGGAAAGGAAATAAGGGAAAAGAAAAAATGTGAGAAAATGAAAAAATGGAAGCAAAGTCTTTGTAAATAGGGAAGGGTGGAGGGGGTGAAGGGGGGGACAGGGAATGGGAAAAAATAAGAGCCAAGATACATCATGTAAAGGTAGCATACGCCGCTGATGAGTGTAACTGTATTTATACCTAAAATGTACCAATAAACTTAATGTGGGAAAAAACATTCACAATAGCCTAAAGTTGAGAAAAACCATTCAATAAAAGGCCTATTTTGCAATAAAGTATTGAATGTATCATATTTTATTTAGTGTGGCGCACTGGAGAGAACAGTGTTGCCAGTTTAGCCTGGTAAATCAGGATAGGCTGGAAGCTGTGACTCCCTGCTGCTGCCCAGCATCCAGAAAGAGTGTGGTACTGTATATCATCACCTCGGAAACAAGAACAAAATCCATAACAAAGTTTCCACTAAATGCATTTCATTTTTGTGTAACTGTGAAGTGGAACAATCAGGTCCAAACATTATAAAGATGGTCTGTATAAATATATGTAAAAATAGGCTAAACGTGTAAAAATTTAACAAATGCCAAAGCTCAATATCAAAATGTAACATGAACTCATTCATATATGTGTACCTGTGTGTACATTTATGCAAAGCATGAGGTTTTGTTTGGCTTGGAAAGTGTACAATAAGTTCAATTATTAAAAATTTGCTTTCATTATTATACTATAAATGCAGCATGGTCCCACACTGTACTATACATACCGAAGTGTTATGGCTTATGTCTTGATGTCCCCCCAAAACCTCATGCAGTCATAGGTGGAGCTTTTTCTGGAACTGATTCATGGTGCAGGGCTAGGCTCAAGGGTCCTAGGATTGAGGGTATGAGTACTACCCACCCTAAATAATCTGTGTAAAATAAAGGGGCACAAAGAAGCTTTTGAGGGCCCTACCCTTGCTCCCTTGTTGCTTCGCTATCTTCTGGCCATCACCTTAAACTGTCTTTCCTCTGCCAAGCCACCCTGCCTTGGAGCCAGCTGATTAAGGAATCAAAAGCAAAATATACCTTTCCTCCCTTTAACTTTGCTGTTGTGTATTTTGTCACAGCAATGAGAAAAGTAACTAAGACACAAGCTAGTAACTCTCAGGTATTTGTTCCAAAAAAGGACTATTCGATAAAATGACAAATTTTACAAAACTCTTTGAAAATGAGAAATTCTAACCGATAGTGCCTAGTTTTAGGATCATAATCCAGCAGTAGAGTACCAACCACCAAATTTAAAATATTTTTCACTGATAGTCTTCAATCTGCTTAATTTGTACAAAAGGAGCTCTAAATATTGACTAAATCTCTAAAAAGCAGTGCTTAACATTAAAAGAAATTCTGAGTTTGGTACAATATAAAACTATCAGAAGGAAAATTTTAAATGGAGCCAAAAATTTGGTACCATCTTATGTTCAGGTATGTGCTCATTTTTAAGATTTTTGCTTTCAAAAAGGAAAAATTGAAATCTGTGGTGCCACTCATACTCACTGCAACTGTCACTGCAGAAAAACTTTTTTCATGAATCAGGCATAAAATTTTTTTCATATTTCATTAATAAACATTGTTCATTGTTGTAAAACAAATCTGATTTCAGGTTATAGCACCATTATTCTCTTAAACTCCAAATGATCAGAAATTTATAGTCAGTTCATACATGCCTCCTTTTAGTTTTGTACATAAATATGGCATCATAAACATGTATGCCTTATAAAATACATGTGCATCTATATTGCGGTGCTCCATATATATGCAAGATATATATGTGTATGCACATTAAGCTAAAGGGTCACCCAAGATATGTATGCATATGCATGTACTTTACAGTATTCGTGTATTCGTGCCATCATTTTAGTACTACCAAATAAAAAAGATTCTGCATCAGCCAAGAATTGTTATTCTGGAGGTGTAGTTCTTAGGTTTCAATGGATGGGGCTTCAGGGATTTATAAAAATCCTCAAAAATATATAAATCCTGTGAGTGACATTCTTGTGAATTCATGATATGTGAATCTTCAGCTTGCCCAAGGCTTAAGAACAAGTATTCAAACCACAGTCCAGTGTTCGCGGAGCAAAGAAGTGTATACACCACGCTATGGTATCTGGTTTTATAGCCCAACTTTTCCACATGGCCAAATAATATTCTTCAAGTTATTTAATAGCTCTGTGTTTCCATTTCCTAAGCTATAAAATATAGCCTTCAAATAATATAGATCCAATAAAATATTTTTCAGTTGGATTTACAGTGATGCTAATGAAACCTAAATGTGAGGCTGTGCCACACTGGGTTCACATGACGAGACACTTTCATTTAATATGTGGAATTGTGTATTCCTCTGAACGAAGATGCTCTCTAAATGGGACAAGGTCACACCCTGTCAAAATATGATCTTTCCTTTGTTTACCTCACTAATTATTCTGAGGATTAAGTTAGATAATAAATGTACAGCTTCTGGACTATGCCTAAAACACAAAAATATTTTATTATTGTTCATTGTTATTATCAAATATGGTACACAACTTGCTTGTGTTTATTTTCTCAATTAATATATGCGACCAAATAGTTCCCATCTACATACATAGCATGAATTAGTTATTTAAGGAGCACCTTAATATACTAACAGAGTCATCTCAGTAAATTTGGAAAAAGAAACATTCTGATTCATATTAGACTTATCGATGCCTACATACTTAAGAAGAGGGTACCTTTTAGTATTTAATCAAGATCATGGTTGCATTTTTGCTGACACAAATCAGGACATTTATTCAGAAAAAATATGTGATATCATGCAGAGAAAAGTTGTCTAAGTTAGATCTTACACATTTGTCTCCTAGCTATTGCAAGACAGGATGAAAACTCAAAAGAATTTTACAGATCTTATCACATTTATACAGAATCAATGCACCTGTCAAGGATTTAACAATGTAAAAAATACAGACACGGGAGTTTCTGAGTCATCGTTTTGTAATTTGGAATCTGTTTTACATTCACAATATAAGACATTACATGATACTTATTTACAATTCATAGTACAAATGTCACCACATGTTTTAATACATGTAGTACATAGAAGTCAACAGATATGAGCTATTTCTATAAACTATGAGCAATCACACAAAATGTCACAATAAATAGTATTCTCATATGATTAAACTGTACTAGATTACACAATGAATTTTATTATATAATATATACTAGTTATGAATAAAATTTGTCCACCAGGGAAAACATGATTTGTATTTCAAATAACAGGGGCTTGAATGCTATGTGTCATTGAATGATTGACCTTCTAACAAGTAATTTTATGCTCCAAATAAGACAAGTTTAAAAGAAATATGCTACAGTTTGCTCCAAGAACAGCCAAAACCTTAAAGCAATTTTAATTTATACACATATTAAATTTGAGTCACTTTTAATGAGATGTGTGTGCATTTCTGTGAATATATATATATATATTTTATATAGATGAATATATATATGAATATATATTTTATATAGATGGATATATATGAATATATATTATATATATGAATATATTATATATGTGACTGTATTATATATATATGAATATATATTATGTGTTACATATATTGTGTTATATATGAATATATATTATATATATATATGAACATATATATATTATGTGTTAAAATGTAAGGCTCTCTTCAGAGAAAAATATGTGACTTTTCTTAGTCAATCATGAAATAGTCCAACAAACTAGATAAGCAATTAGCTAAGCTAAGCTAAAACTATTAATTCTGCTCTGCCCAAAAGGAACACAAAAGTTAGTGAGTTCTTTTCAAGTAGTCAGTTGAATAGCTGTAATCACAGTGCCATTTCCTGTTTTGTGCCATGCCCACTTAATAAAACAGAATTGGTCACCAGGTTCTTAGCGTTGCTTTTCAGAGATGTCATACGCACTGCTGAAGAGCTGAGCAGGCAACTGGTGGATCTCTCTGGATAGGGCTTCTTTCCACAACACAGCTGGCTGTTGAAATGCTTCCTGAAGCTTTCACTGAGTAGATAAAGAGCAAATGGATTGACACACGAATTGCAAAAACTCAGAACGCGTGCAACTAAGGTGACAATCATGTGACCTAGAGATGGGTCGATCTCCTTGTAGTTGAAAGACCGATACATGTAGAGGATGTGATTTGGAAACCAACAGAAGATAAAGCAGCCCACAAAGACCAGGACGATTTTAGCCAAGCGTTTCCGTGTTTCCATCTGTAAATAGAGGGAAATGATGCTATTGCTTAAACTCTTTGGAGCCAGCCTTATCCAAAACTTGTCATGTCACAAAAAGAGTAAAACTGATAGCACGAAAATACATCCAAAACACAAGTCCTCATTTCACAAGAAATGACTATTTTAAAAATTTCATGAAACCTGTTTTGTTTGCCACATCAATCATATTTTAAACTATTTAATAGTATATACAAGACTGGAAGGTAAATTATTGTTTGTTTGTTTTTCTTGGTACTGGGGATCAAACTCGGGCCCTTAGCACTTATGAGGCAGGCGGCAGAACCACTGAGCCAAATCCCCAGCCCTGGATGGTAAATTATTAATAAGTGACTATCTGTTCATGTTGGAACTGTGATATTTTAAAAAATCAAAATTTTAAAACTATTTTCCTTTTGCTTTAAATTTCATTGTATTCAGTAGAAATAAAAATAATTTCCATGTCACTTAAGTTTACTAATTTAACGAACTAAAATACATTCATGCATAGCTATTTTTTTTTTAAATCAGGGCACTTTAAATGGGAAGGTTTGATCTGTTAAAACAGGGCTTAACTCTTTAAAGCCTTATTCAACACACATACACACATACACACAGCACTTGAGATTTAAATTCTTGAATCACATAAACCAAAAGAAGATCCTATAACTGAACACTGTTAATATTACAATGCTGGATTACCTTTACCAATAAAAATAAGTTTTCTTACTTTCATAAAATTTACATACTCTGTTTACTGTCTTATAGAAGATCATTAGGGATCTGATAGACAAAATTCAAATGCCTAAAATTAATATTTTTTATCTGAGAATAATTTTCTAACATCTGCAGTACAAGATTTAGCTTATATTTTCCTAGTATGCTTAAATATTTATACAAGGCAACACAAATGTGAAAATGTAATGTCAAAAGACACTAATAGTAGTCCTCATGATATTTTTTGAGATTATCAACTAGAATATTCCAGAGATGACTGGAGAGATTTGAGGACTACAACTAAGTTGACCCTAGGGAAATGAATACAGAATTCCGGACATACCCCACAATGTAAGTCAGACAACCTACTAATGTTAAGGGGGTCACATGTGAAATTTGTTCATTATTCAACAGTGTCTTCCCCAAGCAGGTGGGACATGGTTGTGAGAATTTCATAGCAGTCTATATCTGGAGATTCCTACAGCCAGCCTGGTAACTTTCAGATAACTTCTTCACAAATGTCAAGACCCACTTGCCCAGCCAGTGTTTATAGATCCCAAATAGAAATGAACAAGAACAAAGCCAAACCAAAGCCATGGGGAAAACCAGTAGGAGAAGGGGTTGTGTGAGAAAGAGGAACTTATTTTTGGAAACCAATAGCCAAAATTTAAATGCCTAAATTGAATTATGAGGTTCTAATTGTTTAAAACTGCTTATATACAGAAAGAGTACAATCAATCTGTAACCTGAACGTTTTGCTGCAGTAATGTCGGGTATTTCTAGAATAAATCTATTAATGTGTCCAAACATGTCTTTGAAGATTGCTTGATTTTTTCAAAGCAAAAGCAAATATGGATTTCAGTGTCTATGGTTATCAATTAAAGGAGGTTACCCCATGCAAGAAAATTTTACCAGATTCTGCAGCTATTAAAGGGCCCAAGGATGCAGATTTTTACTCTATCTACATCCCAGTATTTTTTCCTTTGACTTCAAATTAGGTGCCCCTTGCTTTCCTGTATGGACAGAAACCTTTAGAAGTTCTTTGCTAGAAATACGCAAATGAACAGCTACATATTTTCCCACAAAACACTATTTCCACCCCTCTGTAGATAAGCACAATTAGTTTAATTGAAAATTAATACTGCCTCTTCTTTAAGAAAGAAAAAATTAAAAAATTAAAAAGAAAGGAAAAATATATAAATGGGTGTATAATTTTTATAGGGAAAGTCATACATTTGCAGATTCACTCTGGGATCACCACCATTCAATTTCTGCTGCATTGCTTTTCCCAGGGCCTCTCTTTCTGGTATTACCATCCAAGTCCCTTACCCACACCCCAGGCAGTGCCCGAAGGTATTTCCTGCTGCATTCTTCTACCGTACTCTCTTATCCTTAATGTAACAGTATAAAAAAGAAAAAATTAAATATATTTGTGTTTAATATGTGAAAATTTCTAGTTTATAATGTGGATCTTTACATACATTCTTGCATATAAAGAAAATTTTTCAGATACATTAAATATCTAATAGTGGAATTCCAGGTCCCAACTCAGCCCCAGCAGGCAGATAAGCCATCATCTAGACCTTTGCAGGACAAGAAACTACATATTAGAAGTCTTCCAACATCCCTTCGAGTTAAGACTAATGCAATCCCAAGGCTCTCCTCACTATTCACGGGATGGAAAGCCCATGAAACAGACTGCAAAATTCCAATTACTGATTCTGATCAGCACACTCTCAATACACACACACAGACACACACACACACACACACACACACACACACACCCCTACCAAGCTTACCTGTTTTTTGGTATGTTCATTATATTCCCCAGGAAGATTATGTGCACTTCTAATTAAAGTCTTTGCAATGTGATAATAATAAATGCTAATAATAGCAAGTGGTATGAGGAAATAGACCAAAAAAATGAGCACTGAATGGATCTTTGGATGTAATTCATTCGTCTGAGGGTAAGGTATGCATGCTGTGAAGCTGCTATTGTCCGAGCTCTTAATATGTGCCACTTCTGAAAACACAGCTTCGGGAACTGCCAACAGCACAGAGACCACCCAGATGCCCATGGCCTTCACACAGGTCCCCAGCACGGCACCTGATATCTGCATGTCCATGGGGTTGACGATGGCCCTGTACCTAGGGAGACAATACATGCCAGGTTATTCTTTTGAAAAAAAAGAAAGAAGAAAAATCTCTCTTGGCGAGAGAAGTGCCAACACTTTCTTATATTCTGGTCATTTTGTAGAATACAGAACATTTTGGGACCCTATGCCTAAGTAATTTCACAGGTTTTGAGAACAGAAGACAGGGAGAGAGAAGAAAATATTATAAATTAATATCTCCTAAATTGTGGTCATTTACATGCCTTTTTAATAGTTTTTTTTCTAAGTATCCACACACTAATGTCATTTATTGAATTTTTATCTCCAAAAAAGTTATCATTAATATAACCACTGCAAATAAACAATAACTATAAAATATTAAAAGACCACAATACAATGCAATTATATTCTAATGACTTCCTTCTACATCTGAGCATGGTACCTCCTATATTTTTCCTAGGGACATCAATAAAGCTTAGATACTAACCCAAGTTAGAAATTTCGTAAGAACTAGAAATGAAACAGTATTAGTGGTAAAGTTCTCACACTCCAGAACAGAAATTTTAATCTGAAATTTCTACGTCTAATTCAGTCACACACATATAAGTAAGTTAATAAGGAGGTAAACAAACAAATATTTTGTAGGACCCTCAGATTATTTATATTTGTCTTCAAAAAGGTAACAACATGAAGTCAGACAAAACTAAGTTATGTGATCAGTGTTATTTTTGGGAAATTAATAATTTGGGGGAAAAATTATCTGGCTTTTTCATTTGTTAAGTGGGGACATAAACATTTTATGCTCCAAGCTTTCTTTTATAAGAAAAAGTTTAGAAATCCTCACCACACCAAGACTCCATACTTTTTTAAACTTACCAGATGTTCTAAAAATTCAGACGGTTTCAAGCCAATTGACACCAGTTAAGGTCTTTTTCTGTGGATATGTAAAAATTCTTCCAATTTCCCTCTGGAGATGAACAACTCACAGCCTCAACCTCACTCCGAGGGAAGCCTTTCTTCCTCCTGATTTGTCCCCAGTGCTATTTTCAGACTCTCCATGGGGAAGGGAAATCCATGCTTTGGCATTGAAGAATTTCCCCCATGACACAGGAAATAAAAAGTAAAGAAGAAAACAGCAAGGGGCTGCAATGCTAAATTTAGCTTGTACAATACATCTCCCTTAGGTTTCCTGTGTGGTAGAACTCAATAGGTAGATGTTCCCTTCTCTTACTCTTAATTGCATAATCTTATAAAAATGAAAGAACAATTGGAGTTAATAAGCTAAAATGAGGTATTTTTATTTTTATTTTTTAAATTGAGTTTATTGGTACATTTTAGGGACACAGTACAGTTACATTCATTGTTGGGATCTTGTACCTCTACATGACAGGTCTTGGTTCTCATTTTTTCCCTGGTCCCTGCTCTCCCTTCAGCCCCTCCTCCCCTCCCTATTTACAAACACTTTATTTCCATCTTTTAATTATCTCACATTCTTTTTCTTTTCCCTTATTACCTTCCCCCACCCATCCCACCTTCCCTACACGTTTAGCCCTTTTCTTCCCATTTCACAATGTCAGTTATCGCATTAGAATCTTATGTACTATTACAGTTTATTCACACCAGAGAAACTATTCGGTATTTAAAAATGTGTGACTTATTTATTTCCCTTAAGAGTATATCCTCAATATGTATCCATTTTCCTGTGAATGAATCTAATTTCTCATTCTTTATGGCTGAGTAATATTCCATTTTATAGAAAAACCACAACTTCTTTATCCAGTTTCCAACTGATGGGCAAATGGGCTGTTTCCAAGTTTTAGCTATTACAAACTGTGCTGCTATAAACATGGGTGTGCATATATATATCACTGTGATATGATTCTTTTAGTTATTTTGGAAAGATACCCAGCAGAGGGATGGCTGGGTCAAATGGAACCTCCAGTCCCAGCTCTTTGAGGTATCTCCATATTGATTTCCATAGTGGTTGCACCAGTCTGCCCTCCCACCAACAATGGAGAAGGGTTCCTTTCTCCCCACAACCCCACCAACATTTGTTATTGTGTGATTTCTTGATAGCAGCCATTCTTTGTGGGGTGAGGTGGACCCTTATCTTTCACCATGCACTAAATTAAAATCCAAGTGGATGAAAGATCTAAATATTAAAAGAGAAACACTAAAGTTGCTGGAAGATAAGTTAGGCAGAACTCTTGACGACATTGGCATAGGAAAAAATTTTATGAACAAATCCTCAGTAGCATGGGAACTAGCAGAAAGAATCAGTAACTGGGATCTCATCTTCTTCAAAAGCATGTGCACCGCAAAAGAAACTATCAACAGAACTAAGAGACAACCTACAATGTGGGAAAAAATTTTTACCAGCTGTTCCTCAGACAAAGTACTACTATGTAGAATATATGAAGAAATCAAAACTAACAGCCCCCCAAATATAAAGACCCAATTCAAAAATAGGCATCTGAAATGAACAGGCATTTCTGAGACAAAGAAGTAAAAGCAGCAAGTAAATATATGAAAAAATGTTCACATCACTGGTCATTCGAGAGATGCAGGTATTTTTATTTTAATTAGATATGTACTCAGATTTTAAATCAGAAAGCCTTGCCTTTAAATAAAACTGGAAGCCCCATTTTACCTCATACCTTATTCATTAATTAGAATAAATTACATATCATTATCTCTACATTTAACAGAAATGTAATTGTACCACTGTTTCTTGAAAAAATATAAATATCAATTGTTGACATCCTGTTATGGTAGTTGAAGATTTTTCTCTCTGAACTTACTAACTCTCCTCCCTCAATGCCCAAAATCCTGATTTCAACACTTAAATTGTGTTTAAGTGTAGTTAATTTATAATATTATTACAAAAATATTGTGTACCAGAGTTCAGCAGCATATTATGATGATGTTCTTATAAACACTTCTGATTTTCCAAGAGTCAATATTTGTTCATTTTTATTTGCATAATTTTCCATCTACTTGAATTTATTTTATGTTTGAAATGTTTCTTTACCACCAACCTGTATAACTGCAAATATAATTCTTGAATCTCAGTGCTTCTTTTTTAATTTGACATTTACTAAGTATTTCCACAACTTCTTGTTGGTTTTATTTTCTAAGCCAATTCATTTTCTCTTCCATTCTTTTTACTAACTTTTAATTGCTGATATGATGTTTTTGTTTTCTAAAACATTTTTCTTGCTTTCAAACCATTTCTTTTCATATTATTCTATTCCTATGTTATATGTGTATATTTTTTCATATTATCAGTGGGACTAATAGAGAAAAAATTAATCTCTTTCTATTATAGTTCCAGGTTTTGGGTGCTTGTTCTCTGTGGAATTTCTTCCACAAAGTTAGATAATTGTTGATTGATAACTTGTAATTAGGAGAAAAGTACTAAAAGGCATATTGTTTTTATTTTTTTTGTGTTGATGATTATAAAGAAAGGATAGATAGGTGATCACTAACAATAGAACAAGCCTTGCGTTTAGATTATCAAAAATCATAAAGGGCATCCTGAGCTTCCTCCATTTATTTAGAGAGGAGAAGGAAAGCGTGACTTACCTACCTGATATCTAAGCACATACTATTGTAGCTACTAAAAGAGAGTCAAAGTATAGGACTACTTCATTGCTTAAGACGGCTATTACAAAATACCCAAGACTAGGTGGCTTATGAACATATTACATTTATTTTTTCACATCATGGAGAATAGAAAATTCAAGATCGAGGTGCTATCAGATTTGATGTCTCGTGAAGGTTTCATTACTGATACTTCTCTGTCTCTCCATGCAGTGGAACTAGTAAGGTCTTCCTGTAGTTTATTTTATGAGGGCACTAATCACATTCAGAAGAGCCTTGCTCCCAGACCTAATTACCTTCCAAAGTCCCCACTACCTAACGATAGCATCTTGGGGATGAGGGCTTCAAATTACGAATTTGGAGAGGATGCAAACATTCCAACCATAGTAGGCAGAATGGGCAGTAAAATATCCAAAAATAATGTTGGGAAATTTCAATTAATAAATTCTGATAAGATTGCCAGCAACAGAAACACAGGGAAAGCAAGAAACTTAGCAGAAAGTAGGAAAAAGGATAAGGAAGACTTCAACAGGGAAGATGTTGAGCTCTGTTGAGAACAGGAGGCTAGATGCCAACAGTAGTGTTAGAATACACATTTGAATAAAAGGGAAGTACTGAAAATTCTGCAAAACCAGAGATTATGGTTGAAAATAAGATTACCAATGTATCCATATTGGTCATGAAACATAGCTTACAGTTATGAAGGCAGATATTATACACTAATCTGCATTGCATGTGCATCTTTAGAAAGATATAAAGCAGAAAGTAAAGCCATCCAGGGCCCAATAAAGTGAGCATATTTTAACATGCTTCTTTCAAATATTGATATAAAATATGGGGATACATCTTATCATTAAACCTGTTTCACTGGACACTGTAGCATTATAAGTTAAATTTGAAAATTGAACACAAAAAAATAATCAAAGGCAAAGGCAAGCATAGTACTATTCACATATTAAGTATAAATAACTAGATATATTTCTTCATCGGCACCCATTTTAAAATTTGCTTATGGTATCTGTGTACAGCCTAGATTTCATTGTAAGAGATACATAAATTTAATCATAATACAAAATGAAATGAAAGTTATATAATTTTTACCTTTTAGAATGTTGTCACATCTCAAAATCTCCTTCTCCACATTTCCACAAACATTTTGCTATAAGACCCATAATGTTTTATCTAATTTTTTCTATCATGCCAAAAACGCAGTGCACATGTAAAATATATGACAATCAAAGGAGAAGTCTCGCGTATTACTGTATCTCTAATACACAGCATAATGCCTGCCTATAGGATGTTCTCAATAAATGGTTGTTGAATTTAGGAAGAAAAGTATGGCTTGAGTAAGAAGATCACTTATTAAGAGACATTGTGGTTGAATTGGGTAGGTTTTAGATGCTAGGTTGAAGCAGGATGGTGGTAGGAAAAGAAGACAGACTCTAGTTATGCCCAGTATACAATGATTTTCAGAATCATCTAGAGAACTGAAAAAAAGATATTATTAGAATCTCTCCATATTTGATATAATGCAGAATCTTTATGATGTAAAATGCAGGTTATGCATGGACTAAAGTTTTCAGGTGATTCAAAATACAAGTTGGTTCTGCCACCTGCCTCGGAAGTGCAAGGTCCCTAGTTTGATTCCCCAGTACCAAAAAATAAAAGAATACAAGTTGAGTTTAGAAACAAAATTTCAAGAGGACTGAGTATGCCAGTGCTGATCTTTGCCACAAGCTTCCTGCATGTTGTCCAAGGCAATGCGTGCACTTTAGGTACCTGCAAAGAAAGTGTCTAAAACTCAATATCCGTTCAGCATTTGAAGAATCATTTTCTGCCCTTACAATATGCCATGTCATGTTGAAGACATTACTCTTACTTTGCAAGGAGGAAAACCTGCCATATCATGTGTACTTTTTCTGTCATCTTTCTCCAAGTAAAACATCTGGAAGTAACAGATGTACAGTTAGCACCCTGCCATAAATCCAGGCTCGTGCATTCCCTCCTCTCTTGGAGTACATCCCATAGATTCTAGACTAAGGCATGTGAATAATTTTCAAAACCAACAAAGTAGTATCTAAAGAATGGCAATGTTATTTATTGTGATAATTACATAGCACCTTTTTATATCAAAATGTGGCATTCCTTCTAACAAGAAGAGAAAGGGAAATAAGCTAGAAGTGCTTGAGATCAATGAGTAAAAGACACAACTTATGGCAGTCAAATACAATAACCTTTATTTAATAATAAACCAATAAGTTAGGTGCAGAATTATAACTCACCCTGTTTCTATGTTTATGTATATATAACAATGAGTGCTTCCTGTAACTAAAAAATTCTCAGAAAACTTTGTTATTCACATTTTGTGAAAGCCTTGGTCATCTATTCTTCTCACCCTTGGTTTTGTCCCTTTTTTCATTGCTGCTACACATTTGTATCTTAATTTTTTAGCTACCTTAAATGCCTTTGGAATAAATTGAAAAATAAGCTAGGGTTGCTGTAGTTCAAGTAGGAGAGGCAGGCCCACCTTTACCGTTGTGATTAAAACAATACTGTATTCACAAAGCACATGGTATGCATATGAAATCAAATAGGTAACTGAATACATGAGGACTAGCATTCTTTTGATGTTGATTAGGATATACTTACCTGTGTATCACCATGAAAATACTATAGATTAAGAAAATCTGTGTGAAATAAATTAAAGCCCAGGATCTTGCTAATAATGTCATGCTTTTAAAATTAAGGCATACTGATAGTAATTTTTACTATTATGATAACTAATCACTCAGTTTTGTTCTAGTCATTAAGTGGAATTTTTTAGCTTTCTAATTAAAACGGGTCCCTGAGGTGGGGGTGCTACATTATAAAGCCACAGCTTAGCTTTGGAATTCAAAGAAAACTTTTCAAATGGTGATAGGAATGGTGCCATATAAACAAAGTGAGATGCAGAATTCACACATAAGTCACCCAGTTTTCTATGAGTGTAATTTTACAAGGAAAATTACATGAACTAAGGTGAACGAATCACAGTTAAAAATAATAAATAAGTAACCTCTTCACTGAACACAGTCATTCTTTCAACAAAGATTAAGTCTTCAACGCCAAAGCAACATACGACTAGTACTGCAAATACCAGGACATTCAGATCCAGACTCATTTTTCATTAGTAAAATGTAAATTAAAGAGGAGAACAAACACCACCTTAATTATCCAAGTTAAATTGTTTAGCTAAATAGCTTGCTGCACCCCCAATTCCCAGAGAAATTAAACCACAGCTCCGTATCATGACAACTAATTGTGTTTATTTCCTCCACCCCTACCCAGACATTTCCTCCTGCTAACATGTCCAAAACATGACTACAGACAGTCTGGCTCAGTGGTACTGGACCTGAGTCAGGAGGTCTGGATGTTTCTCCTGGCCTTTCCAGGACGATTTACATTCCCTGAGCTTCAACACCTGAAAAATCACAAGGTTCAGCAGGTTGAACTGCAGGGTAGAATAATGGATTTCACATTGCTAAAATAGATGATAGATAGACTAGATATCAGTGGTGCACTTTTACGGTATTGTTTCAGGATACTAAAATTTAGTTCCAATCTGTGAAAACCAAATGTATCACTGGATTTCAGATATTAAACTAGAAGAATGGGATATGTCATCTGTCTGAAAAGCATTTGTTATCCTAATTATTTTCACATCAATAAATAGCATTTACTTAATACATGCAAAAGATACCTCCCCTTACCTAGATAATTTTTAAATTAAATATTCCCCTAATACTAAGGTGGACATTGTTACCTCCCAGGGCAGTATCCTACTCCAGAAAGAGCACACTTGTAGGTTTTAGGCACGTGTGAAAAGAACCCACAAGATTCTAGTACCCTTGCATATTTTTTCTACAGCTTTTCTACAAAATCAATGAGAAAGGTCGTGCGTAGGATTCGCAATGTGAATGCTAATGCATTCTTGTGTTGACAAACAATGATTTTCCAATCTTCCCACCTCATTCCCTTTTTATTTACTTTCCTTCCCAGTCACTGTCTCTTCCTGACTCCCCCGCCGTCCCCAGCCTTTCCGAGCACCCTTGCCTCCTTGCCGGGCTGTCCAGGAAAACTTCTGTCCCACCACTCCCCAGGCCTCTCCGAGAAGACCTGTGCGCTCTCACCTGTCGGCGCTCAAGGCGGTGAGAGTGAACACGGAAACCCCCACGGAGGTGAGCTGGATGGCTGGGATCAGTTTGCAGGCCACCTTCCCGAACATCCACTCGTCCAAGAAGTAGCGCGAGGCGTCCACCGGCACGCAGGTGAGCAGCAGCAGCAAGTCCCCCGCGGCCAGGTTGGAGATGAAGATGTTGGGGACGCTTCTCATGGCGCTGTTGCTGATGAAGATCTTCACCAGCATGATATTGCCCAGCAAGCCCACCGTGATGATGATCAGGTAGAGGGACGGGATCACACAGCGGATCACCAGCTCGGCCGTGCTTCCGTCGGAGCCGGGCAGGAAATCCTTTTCGGACACCTCGGAAAGGAAACTGCTCTGATTCCCGCCAGTGGTGTAGGCGAGGGTGGAAAGAGACTTGGGAGGCATGGTGTCCTTTGCCTGAGATTCCGCTGGACTTTTCGAGCTCCCCGGGGTCCGCAAAAGTGCAACGCGCGCCACCTGGGTTTAATCGGTTTCCTCTCCTCCCTGGCAAGTTTTACTGATCGCGGAGAACAAGTCACACGGTTGCGACCCAAAGAGACCGTGACCTGGTGCAAAGTCTGTCTGCGCTCTGGTGCTCCAAACTGGGTGGACTTATATTACTGCTAGCTCGGGATTTATTTTTTTAAGGGGAAAAAAAAAAGGTAGAGCAGTTGCGTCTTCCTTCCGTCTCTAATGGTTCGTTTTCGTCTAGGGGAAGCGAAGAGCCCTTTGGAAAGCGAAGATCCGCCCGGTGGGGTTAGCAGATGGAGGGGCGGAAGTGGTCCTGGCGCTGTCCAGCCACCCGCAGCTGAAACACTGGGAAGCGGCGCGGGGCGCGGCCGCTCGGGGGTCCCGCGGCTCTGCGATGGTTCTCGCCGCCCTTGCCGTAGTGTCTTGTGGACCTGGAGGGGAGCTGAGTCCTCTCTCACACGGTATAGCCGCGCACATCCACCCCGTCTGAGCGGAGGAGCCCCGCGCGATAAGTTTGTGAACCTCTGAGGGCTGGGCGCTAAATTGGCAGATCCCCAAGGCCGGAGCGTTCAGCTTCGGAAGCAGAGGAACGACAAAGGATAAGGGCAATGAAAGAAACCCTCTCCGCTCTTCTTTCTGTCTTCTTCTCTTCTTATCCCACAAGAGCGATGTGATCAAAATATCCGGTAATATTTTTTTAATTTTTATTACAGTAAGAGAGACATTGCTATTTATCCCCCTACAGACACTTCTCTCTGCAAACACTCTTGGCCCACCATTCTTGCCACTTTCTGAATCAGATCTAGAAGTCCTCTTTCTTGAGTGGCCTAAGTTATGGTGAACGCTGCTGCCAAGTGCCATCCAATGAAAAGGCAGGCTCATAAAAACACTACAAAGCATAATCATTCCTCCTATTCATTGGATCTGGCTCCTCCAAAAGGCAAAATGACGAAGAAAGTTAAGTTTTGAATCAATTCAGGGAATCAAGCCAACCACAACAACACAACAGTGTGTAGACTTTTGCCTCGACGAAGATGTCCAAAGCACCCTCGGAAAGTGGCAAGAGCAACAGTTTGAGTGTATTTGAAGGAGATGCTCTCAGGGAGATCCGTGTCGATGTGCCTTTTCGTGTAATGAACTTTTAAAATTTAAACATTGACTGCATATTCTGATCACACTGTGTATGGAAACTCCCACCTAGAGTAGACATATTATTTTTACCTTTATATTTTATTGAATTGTGATACACAGAAGCACACAATTCCTAAATTTACTGCTCCATCTTCCCACCATTCGCAAAGAGCAAGCTAACTACCAACCTTCCTAGAAGTAAACCACTGTCCTGCCTGCTCTTATCACACTCTAGTTTGGTAGCTCTGAAACATCCTACTGATACATTGCAGTCTAGCTTCTTTCACTCAGCATTCTATCTATAGGAGTTACTCATGTGATTTTGTTGTTTTTGTTTTTGTTTTTGTTTTTTGTACCAGGGATCGAACTCTGGACCTTGCACTTGCAAGGAAGGTAGCGGCACCACTGAGCTAAATCCCCAGCCCCCTATTCGTGCTTTTTATGTAGCATTTTTTTCATTACTATTTTTAATTTTATACACATTTTTGTGTTTATTATTCCATTTTGATGTTGACTGACATTACCATGTGGCACAATTTTAAGCAGGTCAATAAGGTCTTTACAAAGGTTCCTTTACATGTCTTCTGGTGCTTATTTGAATAAATCCCAGGAGTGAATTTTCTAGTCACAGTGATATATTCACATGTATTAGAACTGATAATTTCCACTACAGTGACTTGTCAGCTTTTTTTTCTATTGGAAACTAGCTTCAGAGTATCTATTAATGCTGAAGGTATAAGTATGCCTATGACAAATGTCACCCCTGAGTATAAATTCAACAAAAATCTGATTTTTCTTGAGGTAGAGTCTTATGTTTTGGTCATATTGGTTTGGAAGTCATGGACTCAAGTGACCCTCCCATCTCAGCCTGCAGAGGTGTACCACCACACCCAGCTTGATAACCATGTTAAATAAGATGTGTTTGGTTGCTCGGTTATTGAACTAGCTAAATACCAGATTTCTCATTTTGAAAGACATTTGGATAGCTCTTAATTATTAAAGAGTAAAATTATACAATAACATGGAAATTTGTCAAACATCACCTGCAATGACCTATCCAGGAGCAGAATGAAGGCATTCATGTACAAACATTTGACACATTAAGCAACTGCCTCAGACATCAACCACCAAGAACAGCATTTTCTCATCAGAGTTGAATTAGACAACACATTTCCACTGTAATCGATTTCTTTGTTTTATAACTCAGTTACAATTTCTTACTGTACTTCTTTATTTTCACTACTTAAAATGATCTGTTATAAAGTTAAAATAGGCTAACTAGAATGTTCATGCACATGCATTTGAATATGACTATTCTCTTTATATTTATATTCATATATTTTAAATATACACCAAGAAAATTAATTTACATATAAATTGAAATGTCTCTAGAAATTTTGTCTTCAAGGTTATTTAAGCTTTCCCTTGTAACATTCATCTCATTGTTCAAAGTAAGCTTCTACAGGCAGTCTAAATTGTGGAAGTTCTCAAAAAATTTTTTTTCACCATTGAAGACTGAACTCAGGTCCTTCACATTGAGCCACATTCTCAACCCTATTTTAATTCTGATTTTGAGACAGGGTCTCATTCAGTTGCTAAATTGTCCAAGCTGGGTTTGAATTTGATTCCTCTACTTTACCTTCGCAGAGTGCTAAGATTATGGGTTTGCACCACCATGCTCAGGTTTCAAACATTTACACTAAAATAATCCCATTAATATATTTTACATGAAAATACTATGAAATCTAAATTATTGTATAAATATCTATATTCTCCTTTGCTCATGTCTGTATGATCTTAACCATTTAAAAGAAAAATATTTAGATCAAAAGCTAAATTAGCAAATATCCACTTGAGTGGCATTGAAGAAATAAGGCAAGCATATAGAATTATTTTCAGTTTAAGTATATTTATATGTATTTTTTCAAAGCTCAGGGTTCTTGGTAGTATAACGGCCCTTTCTGTTTGTTTTTGGTCAGACAGGGTTTCATTCTGCAGTTCAAGCTGGGCTTGAACGTATTATGTAGCCCAGGCTGGCCTCAAACTCATGGCAATCCTCCTGGTTTAACCTCTTGAATGCTGGGATTACAGACATGCAAAACTGCACCTGGATATGGTCATTTTTAATAATGATAATGCCATGATTAGTTGATAAAGTTATTATAAAATTATTACTGTGTAACTGTTAGAGATATCACAAAATTACATGTAAGAATGTGAGATTTTTGTTTTGGGCTTTTGGTTTTGGTTTTGGGTTTTGGGTTTTGTTTTGTTGTTTTTGGGGGTTGTTGTTGTTGTTTTTGTTGTTTTCTACCAGGGATCAACTTGGGAGCTTGCACTTGTGAGGCAGGCAGTGGCAGGCACCACTGAGTTAAAGCCCTGGCCCAAGAACATGAGTATTACCTCATTTTTCAATATACATTAGAAACAAGCATCTACTAAAGAGAAGACTTTTTTATTTTTTTCAATGTGCCATATGTTATTTAAGGTTCACATCTAATTTAATGTTTACAAACACTCTTTGAAGTAGGAATTTAAGTTTAATTGTACACATAACACAGCTAAGACTCAGAAGAGAGATAACTTGCTTAATTTCAAAAAGACTTCATTGAAACCAATATTCTAAGCTTATTTTGAATCCAGTATCTTTCATACCTCATTTTTTTTCATTTTTAAAATTAGAAAGAAAAATGTGATCACTGTATAATTGAATAATATATTTGTAATCAGGAAAGATTTAATGTTCATAAAATGTACTTTACACATTTTATTGCTCCGATACAAAAATTTTGAGAACTATATTCTTGCTATTTCAGATTTATTGATATAAGTATTAATGTATAAGGGAATATGAACAACTAAAATTAAATTGATTTCATAATCTTCATCTGCCCCAAAGTATCCCCTTCAGGATATGATGAAGAAAAAGTTAAATATACATATAAAGACATTCTGTAGGTTTACCTAAGATCATGAACAAAATGGGGATATGTACTATTATAATTGGTATTTAACACAGTAAGAACAAGCAATGCTATCACAATTTAAAAGGATAAAAGAAGCATAAAGTTAGAAAAAAATAGATACCAATGTAAAACTATAGTACTAAAGACAAAATGAAATTGTCAAATAATAAAATAAATGAAAGAGACTAGAAAGTTTAAAGACAAACTGACATTGTGAAATGGGAAGAAAATGGCTAAAGGTGTAGGGAAAGTGGGAAGGGTACAGGGAAAGGTAATAAGGGAAAGGAAAAATAGGAGAAAAATGAAAAAATGGAAATGAAGTGTTTGTAAAGGGGGAGGGGAGAAGGGGTGAAGGGAGGGCAGGGACAAGGGGAAAAAATGAGAACCAAGACCTGTCATGTAAAGGTACAAGATCCCAATGATGAATGTAACTGTACTGTATACCTAAAATGTACCAGTAAACTCAATAAAGGGAAAAAAAGAAAGTTTAAAGACAGTTGCAAGTAAATAAGAAAATATAATTTTTAAAAGTGTTCTGCAGCAAGTCAACAGAGAAAAAAATATAGACTACATAAAAGTAAATACTGGCAAAACCATTTCACATTGCAAGGTATAAAATTGGGTCTCTATGTAAAACCACATTGACTATTAGAATCTCAGCCAGTGTGTAAAAAGTAGCATAGGAAATATATTAAATAATATGTTTGAGACCAAAGAAATAAAGTGATTTCGCCTTTAAGGATTCATGAAATAACAGAGAAAACATAAAAAGAACACAAAAGAAAATATATGAAACAATAGTTTTCAGATTTTTGAAAAAGATACAGCACAACACAATAATTTCTCAGGTACACTGAACAGATAAAATGAGCTCTACAATTATCCCAACTACCTGCTTGGAGAAAAGAGTTTCTAGGTCAGAGACAAGGATCAGGGTCCCAGATAGAGTGTGGGAGTCTCCCTGACTTATAGAGTTGGATCTGGCCTGACAGGGAGCTCAAGATGTGTGAAATTTGCCAAGTAAAATACTAGAGAAAGACAGCTGCATAGGATTGGAACTCTGAAGACTCACAAATGGTTCCATGTTACATTTTCAGCTCAATACTATTTATATATGTATGTGAAAAATTAACCAAATTGTGTGAAGGAACTACTGCAAAAATGTAGAAAAACAAGACCCATAAGTCAATCAATATTGTAAATAGATCATGATGGGGAATTCAGCTCAGTGGTTCTGCCACCTGCCTCACAGGTGCAAGGTGGCAAGTTTGATCCCTGGTACCCAAAAGAAAAAAAGACAAATAAAAAGTAAATCATATTCCCATGAGCCAGTGGGTAAAAACCTTTTGATACACTAGACATCAGGTAGATTATTCAGAAAGGTATTGTGTCCATAGTTGGGAAAAATTAATGACCGACAAAGTTATGCTGTTCTTGCCATCAAGCAGAAAACTACAGCTAAAAGTAAAAAAAAAAAATCTGTTAATTGAAATTAAGCCTTATCTTTGCACTGTGGGAAATTTTAAGTAGCCTAATATACCTATAATTGGGTTCCTGTATGTTAGGAGATATAAGAACAGAATTAAAACATTTGAAGACATAATGGTCCCAAATTTTCTATATTTATTTGAAAACAAAATCATTCATATCTATAAAGA